GGGAGGGGGCGGGGGACTAGCACGCACACCGGATCCACAGGGAAATCATCGATCCCTCCCATCGCCCCGCTGGCTACGGTGCCGATGCCGAATCGAATCCTCTCAGTCGCCGCCGAGCCGCTACACATTAAATTCTGAAATTCTGAAATTCAGGGGGGAGGGGATTTGAGGGTACGAGACTGGCCACGCGCAGAAAAAAGAGACTGACTACGTGGCAAAAGGAAAAAATTCTGGACTATAGTCCAGATATACCTCGAGACAAGGACCAGCGGTCCAGGTATAGTCACGGGCGTTACCTGCATGCGGGCCAGGGCACTGTCAGGCATACGGTCGTGTGTCTACGTATAGCCTGCCCCACGACCCACGCTGTACGCTTCACCCGCAAATACTCTATTTTCCACAGCTCGTATATAGCCACATTCAATGCCACACAACTACCAGATATGTCCATCCAATGGTCCAGATAATATGACTATATGATAGTATGAGCCATATGCTGCTCTCCGTGTAATTGTACATTTTTGCATAATTTTACCAAATAGTTTGCCTTCAGTATCATCTCTTTCTTAGATCTTCCATCTATTAATCTCGTCTTCAGTAGATGTTACGTCCATTAACAGACTCTCTACCTAAAGAATGCATCAAATACAGTTATGTACTTAATCAAATTATTGCACGTGCAGGCAGCCTATCAGATGGAACACAACCGCACTGAATGCAAATTGATTACATTGGAGACAAAGGACTACCCAAAAATGTACTACTTCGAATCTAGAAAAAACAGTAGAATGTTATCAATACTAATACGTTGTGATTACCAGTTAACATCCAACAACCTCTGTTTGCCATGCCTATCCACCAAGCTTAACATCCATTAGAATTAGTCCCGAGCCCTGCACCAAGCTTAACATCCATTGTAGATATTTCAAGAAATAAATGTCATATTTGAAGCTCCAAATGCTTATTATCGTTGGGCTTAAATCTCTGACAATTTGATAACCCTTAGAACCTAATTTTAGATCAAATGGGTACATTAGTCAAACCTTGATGTTCTGTAATCAGACTCTTATGCCCATAATAGAGAGGCTGTCGCAGGTTAAGAAGAGTGCTATGGTGTAGTCATGCAGTGCACCGACGCAAGGGGGATGCTCGTTGCCTCTATATGGGAATTACTGCTCGATCGTTCTCTGAAAAAAGATTTTTTTTTATTGGTACCAAGATAGAAACATGGTGTATGCATGTATACAATTTGAAGAACACAATCCAAAGAAAAAAAATAGTATGTTTTATTCCAGAATCAAATACATTAGCTACATGTACACACTGTAACTTTCATGTACACATTAGGTTTCAGTGAAAACATAGCTCGCACTCAAAGTCCTTAATGCGTAAAAATATGACAAGAATCCATATCAACCTAAAACAACAAAGAAACCATTCTGACACATCGATTCCAAACTTTCTAAGGGGCAACAATCTGAACTCAGAGAAGTATTATAGACTGATCATGCCGGAGAATTGTTGTTCCGCATTAACCAATGAGCAAGGACATAGACAACAAAAAGGGGACTATAGGTCTATACCTAAGGTATCTCAAGATAGAAAACCTCTTACTTGGCAGAGCCCATGGCCATTTTCTCTATTTTAAGCTTCAGGTGGCCCAATCTACACGAATAGAATAGTAGCTAGGAGAACCAGTTAAATTGTATTGAAAAAACATACGAAGAAAAGTGGAAGTGATGGAGCGCAGTAGTAGCAGATAATCATTAATGAGATGGAACAATTGTGCACATAGTAATAATCTGTCAAATGCCATGAAGCATCAGAAACTACATGATGTTACAGCAAGAACAACATTTAGTTCTACAGAAAGGTTGAAGTTCACTCAATTGTTTGCAATATATAACTTAGAAACACGTATTGACGATCAAAAGTGCTTCCTGTAAAAAAAATCTCAAAGGTTCTGCACCTCCATGAGCTTCCTTTTGAACACACCAACTCACAAGTTAGTCAGAGGCAGGGAGACATGGCGGATTCCGCCTGATTTTGGGGTGATTCCTATAGAATGTTCCTCGAACTGAAGAATGTTGCAACAGCAAATACAACTATTAAATACTCATGTCTATATGATAACCCAAGCAAGGTGGCGATCAGAGTACGTCGGAATAGCTTTGTTGTGTTCTTATATATCATGACACAGAAAAGAAGGATATATGATAAAAGAGTGGAGGAAGATAGAAGTAGATCAATAACAAACTACGTAAAATTACCATATGTGCGAGATATTGATGAGCCTCAAATGCTAGCAGTGCCTTGTCGAGCACACATGCTGCAGCTAGGAGGCAGACCATGCTATATGTCTAAATGTTTCATCTGCTCAACGGGCCTATATTTCGCCCACTATTTTGTGAATTTCCTAATGTAGGTAATTAGTCATGGACTTTATCCATTAAATCTCCATCATGTGTGTCAAATTCCTGAACATGAAGTCTGTCTGCTTGTACCTAGCCCCTACAAAATAGCTGGAGAAAGAGACATCTATCAGTGAAAAATAAACTTCTAGCAGTGTAATTTTCCAGCCATATCAATCCTAGCTTTCAAACTTTCAATGGAGATCAGTCGAGGAGCTACAACTGTGTGTCGGGCTCGAGAGCCAACAGCGCAAACGGCATGCATGTACCGCCAACAACAAGACCAATGATGCCACGCTGGACACTAATGGTTTTAGACCAGCGACGACTAACAATATCAGAGATTCATCATCTTATTAGAGTAACACACTTTCTTGTAGGTTTGGCCAAAATTTCGATTTCCCAAACATCTGAATGAGGATAATGATGTAGATATCTTGAAATTCATCCTAGTTGGCCGAACAGTGTCGATGGAGGAGTAGATTTGAGACTGCCATGTTCCCCGCAAATAACAAATTGTCTGAAACTATAATTAATCCAATAAATAGAAAAGACAAAAATCTCTTGAAAAGAACACTTTCCTTAGTTGGATCATTGATACTTAGTGAAGCCATCCACGTAACCTGATTCCGCCAACAAAATCCACATATTAGCAACCCTTTTGGACTGAAGACAGATAACCTGAACTTCTTTACCACACGTACCTTCAACAATTCCTGTTTCCCCGCTTCAGCAGCCAATCCCCATCTCGTGCCACACCGACCACTGCAGGTCAGAACCAAAGTAGCCTCCTCCTTTACAGCCGTTCTGAGCAGCAACACCACCAGAATCCTCCCTCCATCTCTCTCTCTCTCTCTCTCTCTCTCTCTCTCTCTCTCCCACGGCAGAGGCGGGCAGGGGCAAGCAACGGCTTGTCAAGGTTGGCTGGCCCGGCGTCCTGTTGGGTGAGGTGCTTGGGGCGGCATCCATTGGAGGGTGTGTCGATCCAGTCTTGGATGGGAGACGGAGGTGGTTGGATGATCCTAAATTAGTACCACCTCGTTTATATTATGATTTTGTCTATACAAATCGTAAAAGCTTATTATGACATGAGAAGAAAGCGTATTGTGGCAGTGAACCCACAGAGTCAATCTGTGCTTTATTATTAGGGAAATATATATATATAG